GCGGATTTTCATCTGCGTTACTTTTCCTCGATGGGGAGCCTTTAAGGAGGAGATTGGACCGAGGTTTGACACCAACGTTGCCCTGATACTGCTGGATAAGTAAGTGACTCTGTTTATTACGAGCAGGATGTGTTGCTGTTACATGACCGAGTACTTTGTTATTTTCTTGGAAATGGTGTTATGAATGTAATGTATTGTTAGCAGTCTGGTTGTGTAACATTAGCCTAACAAGCAGTAAGTTACAAGGTGTGTAGCCTCACATCAGAGGGGAGGGGCAGATTATACCAGGGCATGCAGTAAATTGAGGTGCTGGCTGTATTGTTGTAAAAACGCAGAAATCCTCTCGTGGTTGACAGAATTTACGAACTATAGCTTTAACAGGCCTGCCTTTTAATTTGTATTATCTGAAAAAAAAAAGGTGTGGTCATTTTTACAACAAAGTAGATATTTTTTTTAAATGATTTCCTTGCTTTTCTTTTCTTTTCTGGGTAAACCTTTTGTTCCTACCTTACATTTAGATAAATGAAAATAAGTAAAAAATAAGGCCCAGGCTGCAAAATCCAAGACAAAAGGTGGGATCTCTTTCTAAACTGCAGAGTAAAGTCCTCTCTTTTACTGTTGTCTGTGACTGAAATGTGTCTTACTGCAGAAATGTGAACATGAGGAACGATGTAACACACCTTTCAGGTATCACCTCGCTGCTGTAGGTAATATATTCAGCATAAAGAAACATAATGTGTGACTCCTGCCTCCCATGACCTTCTTTCTCACCGTTTCGTTTGACGCACGCTGGATTTTTTATTGGATTTCACAACTTTGCAGAATGTGATTGTGTGCCGAACTCGGCTGCAAATGATAATAATAAAAGTAGAAATGTGTTATATTCATTTCATGCATATTCAAAACTCACCTGCTAGGTGTTATTGCAATAATAAGGACTAAGCTCCTTTTCTCTATAGGCTGTGCATGCTGATGGAGCTGCAGCACAGAAACAGCTTGAATCTGGACTCACACACACGGCTCACTAATGAGAAAACAATAGGGGAGCTAAGCTCAGTCTCACGCCTTCTCCTCACAGATCTCTATACACACTCTTCTCTCTCTGCCTTTTCTTTTCTATTTTTGCTGCTACGCTCACGCTCTCTTCTTCTACTGAGTATGTGTGTGTGTGAGTGTGTCTCAGTGGGTGGGGGGGTTGGTGAGAATTCCCCTGAGCTCTGGTCTGGAGATGTTGAAGCAGACGCTCTCACCTATCAAAGCCTCAGGCAGGGGTCCCACACACCCTGAAACTGATATTATTTCTGTTTGATGATTAAGACACAAGGCCGACTGTGGACACAGCACCAGCTCTGTCACTGGGGAGGGGGCAAGTGTGTGAACTGTTCTTAACCTTAGAGACACCAAACACACTTTTCTTCTCTGGAAAAAGTCAACAGAACAACTCTTAGCTAACCCTTTAAGAACAAGACACAACTTTGAATCTGCTAACTGTTTTTGATTGAAAATAGTGTAAATACTGCAAAAAGTAATGATGCTCCAAATGCTTTCAATGGGGGACAAGTCAGGACTACAGGCAGACCAGTTTCCCAGCAGGGCTCTTCTCCTACAGAGCCATGCTGTTGTAATCCCTGTTGTCAGAATGTGGTTTATCATGGTCTTGCTGAAATATGAAGGTCTTCCCCACAAAAGTCTTTGTCTTGATGTCAGCAGATGTTGCTCCTAAACCTGTAGATATTATTCAGCATTAATGGAGCCTTCACAGATGTGGAAGATATCCATGACATGGACTCTGATGATCCCCATACCACCAGGGATGCTGGATTTGGACTGGGAGCTGAGAACAAGCTGAACTTGTATCTCGATTATCTAAACCTAGCCCTCAGTTGTCAGTCCCCCTTCATACTGATTTTGGTTTGAACCAGCAACCCCTCAGCTCCTCTACACTCCCTTCTTCTACCTCTACCTCCACCTCTAACCCCCCACCCCTTTTACATGCATGGCTGCCACCTTTCAGAGGATGGCGGCTGCTGTCATACTGTCACCTGGTCTGAGGCAGAGGACGACAGCTGATGATGAATTGTTTATTTATTGTATCCACAGCTGGGCGAGAGAGAAAGAGAGAGAGAGAGCCTCAGGCCATTACCCAGCCTCAGCATATGCACCACTATTTAACCCCGCCCCCTCCTTCTGCGTTCAGACACGTCACAGAGGCTGCAGACACACAGATCAGCGACCCCCACCTCCCCCAAGCCCCCCCTCTGTAACATCCTATTTTGATGTGCATTGTAAGGGTCATCAGGGGTTGTGTCTGGATGGAAAAATGGGGTTAGAAGGGGTGAGGAAGGGGGAGGATAGACAGGAGACTCACAGCCTGAGGGTGTATCTTACACATACACATGCAAACAGATGCAAACATGCAGTGGGCTCGGCAGGGGGGCACTGAGTGCTTAGACATGCTCAGTTACATGGACACAAACACTGATGATGCTTTCAATGTTCACACGTGAGCAGAGCTGCAAACACACACACACACACACACACACACACACACACACACACACACACACACACACACACACACACACACATGCACGTAGCACAAGTGGTACACTCACATTGACCTTTGACCCTTTAGACCTTTCATAGCTTTATGATTTAAGCTTTTTTATTTTTTATTCTGAGTGATTATTCAATGTAGCTGTAGCTGAAGCAGAGTTTTGAGGCCAATTAGCGGCAGACACCACACTGGAAACACTGACTCAATCCATCTTTTACCTGACTCACCACGAGGCAAAATGGCAGAGAGGAGGCGGGGCTTTAATCTGATCAGGAGTTTTGTAAAAATTCAGCCCTTAAAGTTGTCATGAACAGAAAAACTCTGGCTTTGGTTTTTGTACCTTCGTGCTCCTGAGGATAACTTTACTCTTTTAACGTCGCCCCACTATCGACACTGTAACACCACATAAATTAGGAGTTTTTTTTTTTTTTAAATAATAAGACTGAATTAGTAACTTTGAGTCCCCCGGAGGACAGATAGATGGACATTAGATATTTTCTTGTAGTTTGTCTGAGCTGTCCCCTCTCCAACATCCTCTTTGATGGTCAAATCACTGAAGGACAGTAGAAAATGTTGCAGACATTTCACCTTGGAGCTGAGTCGATCAGCGGTCACAACACAATCGCCTTCATATCACCAACTATTGATCCATACGCCTCTGATCGTCGAAGCCTAATGTCCTATGAGAACAATAAAAGCATCTAAATTGGTGTAGTAGTGAAAAAGAGAAGACGTTGAAGGACGTTTTTACAGACGGCGTGACAGAGCAGCGGGAGGATGAAGGTGGTGTACAGGGACATTAGTATGTATGGAGGAAGCGGTGGCTGGCTGTATCAGGCAGGATTTATTAACACACATTGATCCAGGTGTCTTTGAACATGACTTTCCCCCCACCGGCCCCTCAGATGGATGTTAATCCTCCGCTGTGAGAGGCGAGTCCATGATCAGTTCATTTCCACTGTAAACTCACGGCAGACTCACACGGGCCATTATATGAGGCAGACTCAAACAGAAAGCAGGACGATCCCATGGACCTGACATTAAACTGCATTCATTAAGGTAAAAACTGTGTGGTTCAGCTGGGATCCACGAGTTTAAACCCTGAATAACCTGAGTACTGTCATGAATGAACATGTTTAGCTCTCTCCTGACAGGCCTGTGATGGTCACTCTGAACCCCCCCGACCAAAAAACACACAACTGGGCTCCTTTAATCTGGATCAAACAGAAAAGTGAGAGAAAATGCTTCAACCTGCCTTACCAAGTAACGAGAGTTGATGTCATCTAACAGAAAAACAGCCAAGAGGTGATGTTAGTTTGACTTACTATTTTGGCATATACTTTGGCATACTTGTTAATTTTAACATGATATGAGGTTCTAACAGTTGTTGCTGTGCACATTCAATCATGTTGTTTAGTTTTGAAAAACAAAAAAGTCATGTTCGTTTTATTCTTTTTATTTTACTCACACATTAAATATCTGAATACACTAGAGACTGAGGAACAGTTTTCAAACCTAGGTTGTGCATGTTTGACTGTGTAGTTGGGAGAATGTGAACTCACTTAAAAAGCAAGGTGATCCTGTAGAAAGGTGTCTTACTTTTTGCACAGCAGATTTCAGTATTTTTACTGTATTTTGTACGACATGCATCATGGACACTGTTCAAGGGTTGTTATACTCCTTAAAACTCCTTAGTTGCTTGTGAACTTTAGAGAGTGCTCTTCAAAGAAAGTGTGCATGATGGAGAGCTTGATGACGCCTCAGGCTGCAGTTTCAGGGCTGAGCTGAAGCAGGTATGTGAAAAAAAGCAGTAACAGTGTCCTCGTCTTCTGGCATCCCTATGCCTGCAGTTTAATGGTGTAAGATGAAAAGAACAAGTCTCATCTCCAAGCCTTCTCCATTTCACTGCATGGTCCAAAACACAAATATTTTGGTATATTTTGGCAGCTGTGCATCTGTATTTGTAAAACCAGGAGAATGTGTACCATGAACTCTCAGCCATCTTATTGTCTTGGTTGTTTACTGTCTAACCCCTCAAATCCACCAGATCTGAATTTATCTGTCCCTGCTTTGCCACGACAGCAGGGCCTTATGTCTTCAGAGCCTTCTGCAGCAGATACACAAAATGTCTCAACTGCTGAAGCATGATGCACCAATTAGCACAAGGCAGACTGAGGTAGACAGGTTAGGAAAATCATGAATACATATTACATCCTCAGCTACACCAATAAACCGCCAAAGTGAGTGGAGCCAGGCCTAAAGTCAACAATTCAGAGGTTTTTAGAGCTTATCATGGAGGTCGAGATCCTCTGGTTCTGTATTTCATGTGGGAAATCCTTTGGCTTGTGTGGTGGCACTGCTAGTGAGAGTCCGGTGTAAGTACCTACTTCAGACTTCAGACTAGTTTTTTTTATTTATTTATTTTTTATTTTTAACTTTCTCCTTTGGGGCAGTGACATGCCACCTTTGCATATGACAACACCGCATTTAAAGACCAACACACCCATGGATGCAAACCTGGGAGCTATCTACACATCCTGAAGTAAAACTACTGCGTGTGCAGGTGGAGAAATAATACTGACACATGCACCGTACACAAAAACACTTTAAAAATAGCAAGTGATAGAGTTGTTTTTTAGCTAATCTTATAGGCTAACTAGAAGATGACCCAGTAGTGAGGAGCCGTAAGGGGAATATTTTTACTATTCTTGCATGGGGCATGTAAACTGGGACAAATACAGTAGTCCAGTGAAATTGCTTAATCGAGCTTTAATCAGCACTTAACTGAGCAGGTAGATGTACTGAAGAGGTAAGGCTTAGGCTGGAAACCACTAAGTATAAGTGCACCTTTGTGATGGTGGAACACAAGTTTCCATGCATGATTTTACTCCCTCCTTTGCTTCTCACTGATGTCTGATGGAGCTGAGTGGTGGTCATAATGTGGCGTCCACTGCATGCTGCCTTAAGGTTGTTTCTGCTGAAATCCTCCACACACAGCACAGAGATCTGCATATGTGCAAACAAAGAAGTTAATTAGGAGCCTCAGAATAATCTCAGGGTCACACTAAGCTCTGAAATCCATTCATGATTTAATGACCGCTGACATGTTGCATGATGGGAGATGTGTTTGCTTGCTCGCTCTGCCATCTGCAGCTCATCTTAATGAGAGTGTCGGACAAAAGGAGGTCAGCGCATACTGAAAACTAGGAAGTGGCTCTAATGGCTGCTTACTTGACCTTTGACCCCTCACAACCATGCTTTAGGGTCATGTTCAAGCTTGATGGTTGTTATAGAGATGAGTCGCTAACAAGGTGGCTGACTCTCTGTCCACTAATGATGACCTCACAGGGCCGCAGTATTTATCAGGAAGAACAATAGACGTGTCATCTGAATATTTCAGAGCCAGCCGGGCTGAGAGTGACAGATGAGTCTGTCTGCAGCACAGTGACTGAGGACACACACAAACACACACACTCACTTACAGTCAGAGTGTTATTTATTCTCCCAGGTCAGACTCATAAATAATAAACTTTACATCGGACACTGGAACCGTCCGCAGTGTTTACTCATGCAGCTGCCAAAGAGATCAATACAGTCTCATTTTTACACCTTACTCTTCAGATTTAAGTCCTGTAAATCACATTGTCATGATTCAGTGAGTTTGTGATTATTGCTGGAGCCTGTCGGGTCCTGGAAGTCATTACAGAGCAGATTAATTTAAACCATATTTGAACACTCTGTTTGTCCATCCCGGTTCATTGACCCTGGCAGACATCCGAACGCTACAGACTCGACTGCAGCATCTGTTGGAGACCGCTTAATACACACAGCACTGTGTGTGTGTGTGTGTGTGTGTGTGTGTGTGTGTGTGGGTGGGTGCGTGTGTGTGTGTGTGTGTGTGTGTGTGTGTGTGTGTGTGTGTTTGACAGGCTGTACTTTCTGTCTAAGAAATGAAGTAACCTCAGAAATTCCATCATTTCAAAGTAAGAATGTATGCGTGCAGCTTTGTTATTTCAAAAACTGTTTCAGTTTTGTTCCTGTTAGACTTCCGGATGTTTTCAGTTCTTACTTTTATCCAACCAGACCTACCTGAGAGAAACAGGTGGCCAGAGAGAATCCTTTGGGTTACAAACTATTCACAGTCAGACTGAGACTCACAACTATAATGATGCCTCAGTGTTATTTCCAATTTACACTCACCACACTAACATGACCAGTGCACTAAAACGGCACACTTTTCAAAATGAGGCTGACTTCAAACGGATGAACAGGTGCTCTTCCTCATATGTTGATTTATCTGTAGGGAGTCATTTTACTCATCCTCTGGTGAGAACACATGGTCAAGTTTTTTTTTAATTGGACTGTAAACAGCACAGCATCTAGACAAGAAAGTCTGGGTTGGAAGTCTGATTTTTCAAGGAACCAAAATCCAGGCCATCATCCCAGACTCTGGGGCCCATATAGGCTTCAGACATTGTGATGAACACCAAGAGTGGTTTAGGTAAAATTGCTAGTTTACACAGTGCAGGCCTCGTACTAAGTCTGGGGTCCATGCTGGTTTTAAAGGCACAGGGTGTGTTAATAGCTTGCTGAAATTACTTGATAATCACCTGGGGCCTCATGTATCAACGCTTGCGGCGCAAGAAAACCTTGTGTACGCCAAAATCGGCGCACACGTCCAGATTTATCATCGCGAAACGAGCGTCGGTTCCAGCGCTAATCAACGCAAAGTCAAGAGGTGGTGTAGAAATTGGCCTTGAGCTGATACTTGCGTTGACGGTGATTCGCACTTTGGCGACGCTGTGTGGCGGTGTTTGGTGACTCACTATGTGACAAGCGTGCACCACATCCCCGTGGCCGAGCAGCACGTCGCCCCACATGACGAACCAGCAGCAGACGGAGGGATGCGAGCTGATCCCTGCCGGGCCGCCGTCCTCGCGCGGAAGAATCTCATCGCCACAGTGTGAATGGGTAAGAAGTGAATACACAGTTCAATGAGCCAAATTAATTTATTTTCGCCACCAGACGCTCAAGGACATTTACGAGCCGGTCCAGCCGCTCGTTGATCCCCGCGATCCCCCTGATGATTTCTTCCTGCGATTGCAGGACCCCCTCCGCGAGGACCCTTCCACTGCGTCCGGGTGGTCCAGCGGAAGCGCCGCGGCTGGTGGACGCTCCACCGCTTGTCGGCGCGCTGATGCTGGTGCTGGTGCTGGTGCTGGGGCTGGGGGCCGGGGTGGCCCGGATGCCGCTGGTCCTGGCCGACGACTCCGAGCCGGCGGACGGGCTGCCGCGGGCCGGGGTTCCGCAAGCCGGCGACACGGCCGACACATTGATTTCTGTGACACAATAAAAATATTTGTTCATTTCAATTCCTGCCTCTGTGTATCTGTAGCGTTTACATCTCTCTCCACGGTATCATAGGTAATGTAATCCAGTATTTCGAGGTCAGTTATGCAAATTACAGTTGTTTATTGCATAAAAAGTTATCGAAAAATGAAGTTAAGGGCGAAGTATAAATCATGTCTAAAAATAGACTGAATCCCAACGTTGAAATGAAGTATAAACTTAGACTAGACGTCTAATATACGTCTTTTGCTCAGTGGGATGACAAAGCATGTGGACATTTGTGTGACACACCACTTACCCTATAATAATAATCGCCACCACCCGCTGCTCAAACGGTGTGAGGGTCTCCTCCCCCGGACCCCCACCTGTCTGGCCAGTACTCCTCCGGAGGGCAGCTGTACGCCGCTTGACCTCCACCTTGAGGTCCGACCACTTTTTTTTTCAATCTTCGCGGGGGTGCATGTCTCGGAACCCACCGCGTTCACCATCTCGCAAACTTTCTCCCACTCCAAGCGTTTTTGTTTTGCACTGACAGGCTGCCAAACAAAACACGCTGTCGCTCCTCCACCTCCGCCACCAGCAACTCCACCTCGCACGCCGTAAATTTAGTTTTTCTTGTCATTTTGTCTGCGTGCGAGGACAGGGAGACCCTATTTAAATAAATCTGCATATTTATAGGAGGGCGTAACGGGGACGGGCCCAGTCACTCCGACATCTGCGCTCAATTCCACGCTGATTGGGATTTATCAAGGAAACACACGTGGATTTCGGCGCCCGCACACATTGATACATACGGATTTTTTTCAGCGTGACGGACCTTGCATGCGCTCGTTTCTGGTATGAGTTCCACGCAAGTGTTGATACATGAGGCCCCTGGTTATTGAAACGTTTGTGTTTGTTCATTTAGACTGAGCTTCTTTTATACGTGGGAGCAGGTTCTCCTCTGTGGAGTCTGACATTTTACACCTCTATGTTTTATGGTAACACAGAATGGACAAACTAGTAACATACATGTGCTGGTATTTAGTTTGTGGGTGCACAAAATTCACAGATTGGAAGATTCATTTGGTGATTAAACTCCTTGTCAAACTGCACACAATGATTCATGTGAATCCTTAGTCCTGGTTAAAGAGGTAAAATCCAACATGCACAGACTTTGTTTATGATACTATTAAGATAAAATGTATGTAGAGTTGCTTTTTATTATAAGAGGGAGACAGGTAAAACACCTGAACTGTTTCACTCGCACCTTAGATGGATGAAGAGTATATGATGACAGTACTTTACAGGACCAGCTCACCTGTAATGTATGCAAGCTTCTCTTCAAGTTCCTTCTCAAACTTTAACGAGAAGAAAAGGAGGATAAGAACTTTTTTTTTTTTTAGAAAATGATGAAAACCAGGATCAGGTATTAATTCACCTCTCACTCCTAATTCGGATGGGAACGCGGGGCGGCCCTGCTTATAACCGCGGGCCGCTGAAAATGAAGCACAGGAGAAGGAGAGGAGGAGGAGGGGAGCGGCTTGTGAGAAGAATAAAATTTCCATGGCTGATCTGCTGTAGCAGTTGTCGGGAGGTTAAGGTGAAGGCCAATCCAGCTGTAAGAGGGGCCAGGATTAAAGTCTTTGAGATATGGATCCAGGGGCTCTCCGGCTCTCAGTACCAGGGCTTAAGTATTGTATCCGTGGACAGACGGATCAATACCCCTCGCCTTTCTTTCCCTTCGTCTTCAAGGAGATTTTTGGCAGAGCTTTCATGGGGTCCTCTCCTCCTGCCCCCTAATGACATGGTGGGAGCTGCGATCAGGCCGAGGGCTTCAATCCTGCAGCTCTTCTGGGGCTCTTCAGGAGCTGCAGAGAGGCTGTAAATCTTAGCTTTGTATGGAACATGTCTCTACAATCATACTTATTTCATGTGTCATAAAATCAACAGAACATAAGCTCTACACATGCTGCCAAATCGGAATAAACCATCCTATTTCTGCTGTGAGAAAATAATGGGATCTATGAGAGATTTTTTTCCTTTAGAGATAGACACTTCTGAAAATCCATTTTGTACATTTCTCTCCTTGTTACAGTCCGCTGAAGGAGAGGGTCATTGGTGGTATGCACCAGACCTCTAAAACTTCATGCTCACATAAATAAACTCAAATCTGAAGACATGGACATCCATCAATCAAGCACAATCTGTTCGTGACATTCTCCTCCCTCCATCCACTGCAGACTCTGACACAATTTTAATATCTGAACCTTTTTTTTTTCCCCCACAGTCAAACAGAATCTATTTTACGCTTTTATTTTCTTAAATCTCTGACTGCCATAGGCTTAGACTGCTATAGGCACAGACTGTTATAGGTTAAGACTGCTATAGGCTTAAACTGCCACATGCTAACACTGTGAAAGGCTTATGTCTTTGGTCTCGGGCTATCATAGGCTCTGACTCTTCCAGGTTAAGACTGCTTTAGACCAATACTGTTCATAGCTTAGACATCCGTAAGCTTAGACTTCTCCAGGCTTAAACTCACCTACCTAGACTATTCTACACTTAGACTGTATCAAGCTCAGACTGCCTGGGGACCTGACACACTGAGCTAGTGTATCTATTCCTAGCCCTAACTGTATTTATCTACATCATACCAACATGTCACTAGCTTTGAAGCTGCCCGTCCCACTGCAGTAACTGACCACAGACCTTTCTAAGAGTCTTTAAGTTCATTTGTTCAAAGGATTTCTCTAAAAACTAGGGATGTCAAAAATAAAAAAAAAATCATCAGATCAATCACAGGGTTGCTATGGATTAATTTTGATTAATCATGATCAATTTTCACTTATTTTCAACTCCATCTTGCAGAGTGTTTGTGTGACACTGTGTCGATCGACTGCTCTGTTGTGGGTTTTTTATTGTACTTAAATTAAATACAGGAGACTGTGACCAAAATTTCATATGAATTGAATTTGTATTTATTATGACGTGTGCTGAGATGAGATCATGATCTCAATGGGATTTTACCTGGTTAAATAAAAATAACAATAAAAATTACATAAAAAAATTAAAAATATATGAGACCTTTATTTCAGCAAGAGAGTAAGAATTTCATCTGGTTGTGTTCCTGCAAGAGCATATGTTTAAATGCTCCCTCTAAGACAGGCTCTGTATCAGACATTGTGGTTGACTGTTGCTCTCTTTTTCACTGGCTTAGTCAGTCTCCTCCACCTGCTCTCTCTCTTGTTCTGCGGATAGAGCAATGTCGTCTACATGCGCAGTGTGTATGCACACCACACACCAAAGACAGACAGAACTTCACAACAAGTGTTTTGCTGTTTTCACAAATGAAGCCGTCACTTATCAAAAAAAAAAAAAAAAGTGAGGGGAGACAGGAGGAGGCTGGTGGTGAGGGAGAGCCAACAGAAGGTGCCAGATCAGATAGTACTGATGATGAAAAGGACAGGGAGACACAGCTGGGCAGCAGGTGAAAAAAAAATACTACTTTAACCACAATGGCTTACAGAGTACCTGTGGTACTAGGGGAAAGCTATGTTGTGTGTTTATTGTTGATAGTGCAGCCCATCTATTGCAGGCAACTCTAAACTTTTAGGCCTGATCTACTAAAGGTTTGTGTGTCCAAAAACACATGCAAACTTGATAGCGTGCACAAAGCTGATCTACAAACCAGGTGCACCAAGGATTGCGTCTGTCAAATGAGCAACACAGCATGCACAATCTATTTAGCGTGTTTGCCTTTATAAATATGCAGAATGTATGTAGATCATCAGACCGCACAAAATTTTGGGAGGAGCAGATGCAAATAGAATCATTTAGCACCTGCAATGTAATTTATCAAACCCGGGAATTGGGTCGCTGTTTTGCGTCTATATTTAGTAAGGCACTTGCAAACTGGTACAGCGTTAAGCACAAATGGCTGCAGTCATTTTGGGGGGAAAGAGGCAAAAGTACAAAAGCGTTTTCCTAGTAAATGATGGTTTTGAAAAATAATTAAGTCTAAGACGAAACACATGAAAAAATTTATGTTTGTCTTCTTGATTTTAAATCGTTTGAATCTCTTTTTTATTTTAAATATATTTCCTTGCATCTATAAAGCACTTTGAGTTGCCTTGTGTATGAATGATGATACAAATAAACTTCTTGCCTTTTATGCAGTTGCTCGATTCCACAAAGCGATAGGTGCAACTCCATGGCTTCAAACTTTTCATCTACCATCACTCTGCTCTTACAAACTCTCCATTGTGACAGCCAATAGTGCACGCAAAATCCTCGTTTAAAGAGGGCAGTCCGCACGACTTTTGCCACTGTTATCAATTCCGCACGCAATGATAGATGATCACCCACATCACACCAACTAATAGTGCAATTTTTTAGTATGCACACGCAATTTAGCGTTCGCTATTTGGGATCTATGTAGATCAGGCCTATAATGTTTGTGTAGAGCCCTGTTTGAGCCCCTGCCTCTCACTACCAGATCAACTGCCTATTTGCTCATGTGTGACAGTAACACGACTTGAACATGCTGCCCGAAATGCATTGCCAGAGATGTTTTGGGGAATTTGAATCATTCTGCACTGCAGGTGGGTTAATTGTGTTAAAATTTTTAATCAGATCAATCATGATGATTGACAGCCCTACTAAAAACTGTTTCTGCAGATAAACCACAGCAGTGGACTGGCCAAACTACACCAGCTTTTTTGACTGTTTCACATTTCTGATTGATGTAATGTTGGAGACAATGTCAATAGTAGAAATGTTGGCGTAAAATTTGGTGTCATTGTTCATTCAAACATTACTACACTGCTGATGGTACACATCTCATTTATTTTGTCATCTTTGCTTTAATTTTGTATTTCTGTCCTGTTGTTGACATCCTTTATCTTTTTCTTTCTTGAAGCAGATGGTGTTTCACCAGTGACTCTGGTCTTCTCTGATCAGTTCTCTACATATCATTTGACCTCTTATGGTCAGATGTAAAGATAAAACTGTCGGTCCAAAGTTTGGGCAAAAAGCAGCTGAAACCACATACATGCAGCTGAAGTGTTTGTGTGTAAATCCACGGTGTGTCACTGGTTTTGATTTGAGATGATTGAACTCTGGACATGAAACAAACCTTGACCTTTTGTGATGTCACAGGCCTCCTCTGATCTGTGATTGGATGAAGACATGAATCAAAACGATCGATTGACCCGTGGTCCTCCTGAACCCCGTGGCCTGGAAACAATGAGGAGAGCGACCCCAACATGTGGCCTGAGACTGGCCAGAATGGCAAACACCAATCACAGCACAGGATTTGATGAGGTTTGGAGGTGAATTTTATATCAAAGCTGCTCCTTTGTGCTTCAAACCTGGACAGGTGTGAAGCCGCAGAAGAGGTCATGGAGAGTTTTATAGAACAATTTCAATGACGTCTTTGCTCAGACAGTTGTAGTTTTGACTTCTCGTTAGAAACCTTCAGATTTTCCTATGAGACACTTTCTCACACCCACTGCAGCAGAGCCTCCTGAGAGCCAGGACCTTCTCATGTTCTCCACAAACAGCAGTCAGACTCTGGCGCCTGCTCAGGGCTGGATTACAGCGATCAGTGCAGTAAGCTCAAAGCACGCCGGGGCCATGCCCGTCCCCCTTCAGTTCGCTTTACACCGCTGCCGGCACGCCGTTCTAAATCCACTCTCAGGGGCACACAGAGGGTAAAAACACGACACCCACCCCTCACAACTCCCATTAAGTCCCCCTTTCAGCAGCTCCCATTTTCCAGAGGGGTCAGCGTTCAAATTTGATTTCATGCGCTGCTCCAGCGATGCAGGCTGGCAGCGGCTGTGAAAGACTCGGGGATGAGGGAGAGATTATCCAGCAGCACATAAAGCCAAGTCGCTCTGACCTAATTGAAACCAAACAACCTCTGTGGGCAGCTCAGAGTGTGATTAAAGCCCGGACCTGGCCACCTCTACTCACTCAAACACTGATGGCAAGTTTGTAATAAAGCGACACCCAGAACGACCAATGAAGTCACAGGGGATGAATCCACAGCGAGCCAGACAGCCAGGAAAACAGCTGCTTTAAATAGACACAATTAGAGCTGGCTCTCTCTGCCACACAGCATCACAATGCTTTCATTACACTGTTGCTCTGAATTTCCAAAGATGGCCGCCAAGAGATTATTGCTGACACATTCCTGTAAACTGTAAAAGATGCATCAGGCCCCAGCTTTTTAGGGGTTTGCCAGTCCCTGCCTGGCAGCCAGTCCCGAGGACCATCGTGCCAGGAAAGAGATATGAGTGTCCCAGAGAAGAGAGGGTTATTCAAGCCAGACATGGTGGAAAGTCAACCTGCAAGGAGAGAGAGAGAGAGAGAGAGAGAGAGAGTAGTTAAAATAATATGCTTCTGGTCTGGTTCAAGTTACAAGTAAAGATAAAGTTTGGAAAGATCCTGAATTTAAAAACATGACATAAAACATCTCATCGTTAACTGTTGGGAGAAAAAAAAAGAAAAAAAAACTTTTGTAGCATTTTGTCTTTTTCGATTCATCAGCCACTGTTTCATCTAATAGACTGGAGTTATTTTGTGATCTGTAAAGTTTGTCTTAATCTTACAGTCTGAAGTCTGAGTTTGATTTAGGGAACACCACATGATAATTATCTTATATATATATATATATATATGCTCCTCCTATTGGGAGCTTGGAGCTTGAAGCTTAGTAACACCTAAGTAACCTCTGACGTACAGCTCTAGAGCAGCCAAGGCATGTGTACAGCATACAGGTGCCTATGAATATATAAGGATATCGTCATGTTGTTAATTTAATTTTCTTTATCTAATTCAAAAATGTAGGTTTGGTAACTGTTGGTAACTGTCAGTGTTATAACTGTTGACATTTCCTGACAATGCGAACATAGATAATGCATTACACATATATTTATGATATGTTATAATTTGCTCATAAACTTGTATAACTATACATATATAAACACTCATTAATTATCATAAGGCTTTATAACAATAAGCATTACACATTAGAATACCTAACCTTGTAAGTCATGATAAAATGCTTTATAATGTGTTGTGATTATAGCTATAAAGTATTATGATCATTTGAGTGTTTACAACTATCGTTATACAGTGCTATGACGTGATTATAACGCATTAAAAATATATTTGTAATGCGTTATAGAGATAGAACACAAGTAAAGTGGTACTATAGGGTTTTATTTATTATTAGATTGGTAGCATGTAAAGTGAGATCTTTCTGTTTTTGTTTTCACTCTGATGGCTTTGGCCTCAAGTTGGTCCAATCCACATTCAAGTTTCTCCAGGTGGGTTTGGTCCAAAGCAGAACAGGGCCTCAGGAGTGTCACTGGTTTACAGAGCTGTCACTCATTCTTCTTTTTAAATAAAAAAAACTAAACAAGATGACTGACTTTGACAACAGAGAATCATTTTTGCCCTTTATGATGATAATCTGTTTACATGAAGGAGGCAGGCCTTCTGACGTATACTGCAGACAGCGGGGGGGGGGGGGGGGGGTCTGACTGTTTTGGCTTCATGGTAAGTGAAAGCTTGTGGTATCTGTTTTTATTTACAGTCTGTGGTTTTCATTGGTTGGCATGACAAGAGCCTATGCTTGAGTGCAAGTGGAGCCTCTGCTTCTAAACAAGGGAAACCCCCTGGCAGCTGCAGCTTGTACAGACTGTGGATTTGAAGCTCGTTTCTTCTATTTAAATGTGTTTTGGGAGTTTAAAGAGGGAGTTTGCTGCTTTGTGTTTGATTTATGTTGTTCAGTCTTCTTTCTGTTGTTCTTTTTACCTGTTTGTTCATGTTTGTAAAAATTGATAGGGCAGATGTCACAGCATAAACATTGCAGTAACAGTCTGATTATTTCTGCCCATTTTTCAGAGGTGTATCATGTGTGCATTAGAAAAATAAACACAGAAATGACTGATTGACAAAATGAGAAAGATCAAACTTGAAACTGTGTTTGATATGCTGTGATCTGTCAGTCCCTCCTCACTCTGCTCCATCTTTCTATAGCTCATGTCTGCCTTTCATTCATCTTCACACTCATCTCATAATTTCATCCTAAAACAGAGAGCAAGCAGCGCCATGCTTCAGTTTATCCACATGCCTGAGTCAGATACTCTCAGAAATGACTGAAGTAAATCATGTTAGATAAGAGGAGCATTTGTTTTCCTCAGACAAACTGAAACCTGGTGTATCTGAGCTGCTGTTCGAGTCCAATAAAAGATATAATAAGTCTACATTTAACTGTTTCTGATCCAGTCCTCCTCCAGTCTGTCACACTTCATACGCCTACAGAAAGTTGTTCTCTGGTGAAACTGAAAGCTCTATAAGACCTGTAAGTCCTGGTTGGGTATTTAGTGAACCGCTCGCTGTGATGTGGTTTTTCAGTATTCAAACAATGGCTACAGCCTGTCCGACTGTTAGCACTACTGTAACTGGAAGCAGCTGCTCTCAAAGGCTCAGCTGCTGAGGAAGGAGGCTGAGAAACCCGAACGGGCGGGTTTCATTTCAACACCACCCACATGTTGACTGAAAAGTCTGTTTTTGGTGGAATCACCATACAGTGACAACAGCAGTGTTAACTTTCATGATAAAAGCTGTTAGCACTGACTTAAACACTCTCCCTCTGGGAAAATTTGCAAGTGTCAGTGGAAATGCATTCAGTGCTTGTTCCTGAGGCCAGAATGGGAATGCAAAATGAGCTGCGAGAGGAAAAGTGCAAGCATCAGCAGGCAGTTTGTGTCTGTGGTACTACCAGACTTCTCTGTATGTGCTTAAGCTCCATGCGCCTTCAGCTGGATGACTTTTTACCTGATTATGTTAAACTGTACTCATGTGAAAGGAACCATACAGGGACAAAGTAGTTTGCTTGAAAATCAGTGAGGGTATGATGCTTGAATGTATAAATGCTGAGGAGCCCTTAACTGACAAATTATCCCACGGACCTCCACCTGAAAATAATATGAGCTATTTTTGTACAGAGAGTCTCATGTTCAGCCTTTGTATTAGTTTAAATTATTGGAAAGCACATAAGTAATTCATCTCTTAACTTTGGGCCCTCGTGAGCCCTTTCATGACCTCTGGCAGTCCCCAGACTTCTCTTTGAGAACCACTCTAATAAACCTAAAGATAAATTGATCCTGTTTGTGGTCTTCATGGACAGACTCAAGGGTTTTCAGCTTGTAAGACTCAAACATCATCTCTGCTTTTTGCAGATGATGTGGTTTTGTTGGTGTCTTCAGGAAGTGTGAAGCAGCTGGGATGAGAATCAGCACCTAAGGCCATGTTTCTCTGCAGGGAAATGGTGGAGGTGGGGTATGATTCCTTCCTCCAAGTGAAGGAGTTCAAGTTTGTTGGAGGGTTGAATACAAACAAACTGGCACAACTGAAGGGTTATCAGGACTTGTACTAACAATCTGACTTTGTCAGTGGTGAAATAAAGCTCTGGTAGCGGTTGCGGTTCGACAGTCAAACTATATTTTAGCCCATTTGGCTGGAACGGCTTGTTTAGCCGGGTCAGTAAAGCAGGTGTCCCAGGTACAGTCCTTGTAGCACCAGTCACTGGATCATTTCCTGTTTGACGTAATTTAGTTAGGATGGGTGGCCTGTGGTGTTCAGGCTCATCTAGTGTGGAGTTTATTTATATGTGTAGTCTCATCTACTGTGTTTCACTTGGCCTAGAATGTTAGAGGAAAACATTCTCGAGTCAGGAACAAAAAAAGCACAACCAATGCAAAAGCAGACCTGGGTCCAATCAGCTGTTGTTTAACAAGAACCAAGCTTCTAGTAATCTCTATACAGACATCTGCATGCAAGTGCAACTGACAATTTGCTCTCAGGCACCATGCCATAGGAAATCCTAGATCCACTTGCAGTCCTTGAGTTATTGGTTAGGCCTTAAAGAAGACAGTCTGTGGAAAGGGGGTCTGGCTCTAAAGTCCTTTATTGTTTACATCTGGGTACACCTGTGTCAGGGAACCATGCTGATAATGAACTCAAACACATTGAATCCTGTTTGACTAAAATACTCCAATATCCTTTCACCAGTGTGGTGATTTAACTGGCTTACGTAAAAGTGAGTTTCTTTTCTGTCTTTTGGGACAAAGTCTGAAGAAAATCAAACATTCATCTGTAGCTGATGGAGAAGCTGTCCCGGCGGTTGGATTGCGTCCTGGCGGCTGGATTGTGGGAAAAACAAAGTCGGTGGCGGCGACGTATGGCAGCCATTATCTCCATCTGTGATTAAAAGCAAGAGTCTGTCCCCCTGCCTCAGCTCTAGGCCTCTGGCCAAGCCACCGACCACAGCTATTTCTCCTGGTCCCTGTGTACCATTTAATCATGTGTGCGCTCTCGACTATTGTGGTCAGACCAGTTTGCATATGGGAGAGGAGGGGGGAGAGAGACAGAGAGAGAGCGAGAGAGACAGAGAGAGAGAAGGATGACAAGTATGAGAAAAGGACAAACAGATCTAAGAGAGGTGCTCATACTTTAACAAGTTCAAACTATAACTAGTTCATTTCTTTCTTTTTTTCACTTATTTCATTCTCTCCACCATGAACTTTTGTCCTTTTCATTTTGCCAAAGAAAGATCCTGTTTAGCTGCATAACCACCTGGTAAAGCAGGTCATAATTAACACAGGTTTACAGAGAGGGTGACAACTGCAGATTACAATGATGTATTTATGTGCAAATAGGATAGTAACACAACTAAACTGCTGAAAGTTTTAACACCGAACAAGAACCTGGTAATCCTCTGATTCATTTTGGTCCATCTTTTTTTCATTTAGTACCAAAAACAGCACGAAAAGTTACACTAATACACTCCATAGGAGGGGTAAACTTAGATCCATACAACTGGTTATTTTATGTAGAGCGATTAAACATTAATCCAATAAGAGCCACAAGGAAACTTTCTCTGACCAGCAAAAATGTGGAGCAGAAAAAGGATCAAGGCAGACAGGGAAACAAAGAAACTATTCCAGAGACAGTCTATGCTTCTTAGCCAATAATATTATAAAGCCTATAAAGGATGCAGTCCTAGTCCAAGTAGTCCAAGCCTTTAGCAGTCTAAGGGCCCTATTTTAGTGTATGCTGGTGAGGAGGGTGGCGGACCCCGCACAGTTGTATCTTCGTCTGGCGGAGCCCAGCGTACAGCCAGTTTGGTATTTTCGTGGACTGAGGCGCACGGAGGC